CACACACACACACACACACACACACACACACACACACACACACACACCTGTTCATGTGCAGGATGGTGCGGCTTCCTGTGCTGATGTTGCTGACGACCACAGAGGCTGGAAGGACACACTGAGCGTGCTCAGACACCAGAGACACATCGATATGGAACTTCTGAAAATCCTCCAAAATAAAACTACAGACAATAAACTGTTTCACATCTCCTCTGTCCTTCACAATAAAACTACAGACAGGAAACTGTTTCATGTCAGTGTCTTAACCCTTTACACTGATCAAGTTCCTCCTCACTGAGGATCTCTGTGGACAAACGAGACGTGGAAACAAGGGGAGAGAAAGAAGACAAGGAAAGAGGAAGGACACAAGGAAAAATGTAAAGAAAAGGATGCAATGAAACACAAAGAAAGAGAAAGGAGACGCGGAAACAAGGAGAGAGAAATGAGAAGGAAATGCGGAGAGAGAAAGGAGACAAGGAAAAATGTAGAGAAAACGATACACTGAAACAAAGAGAGGACACAAGTAACAAAGAGAAGGAGGAGAAACGAGGAAACAAGGAGAGAGAAGGGATGAGAAGAAAATGATGAGAGAGAAAGGAGAAGAGGAAACAAGGAGAGAGAGGGAGAGAGGAGAAGAAGAAACAAGGAAACAAGGGATGAGAGAGGAAAAAAGGAAGAGAGATTAAGGAAATGAGGAGAGAGAAACGAGAAGAGCAAACGAGGAGAGAGAGAGGAGACAAAGAAACGAGAAAGGAGAGGAGGAAATAAGGAGAGAGAGAGGAAACAAGGAAGAGAGATGAAGGAGACACAGAAACAAGGAGAGATTGACGAGACGAGGAAACAAGAAGAAAGAGACAAAACGTGGAAATGAGGAGAGATAAAGGAGACGAGGAAACAAGGACTTGTGTAGTTTCTGTAGTTTCTAGAACTAGACCTGATCCCTGAGACCTCCTCCATGTACTGATGGACGCATTGATCGGTACTCACTCGGCCACAGGTCCGGCAGACAGAGAGCCCATGAAGGCGCTCGGCGCTCCGAGCAGCGACAGCACCGTGCAGGAGTTGGAAGCGTTTCCTCCTCGCTGCCAGCGCTGCGACAAACACCTGCACAGGTACAGAGAGGGATGACATCACTGCATCAACGATCAATATCACTGAAGAAGACTGTACATGAAAACACGTTTCACTTCCTAAAGGCAACATCGAGAATCAATAGCAAAGAGCATTAATCCGCAGAGGTGCATGCTGGGATATGATATCATTGATAATTGATTGAATGATATTTATTAAAGTGGCCATGTTTATGATCAATCAGAATAACACTCACATCGATGTAGAAGCACCTTCAGAATAAAATATCACGTCGTGGATTCCCCTTCACAATAAAATACCACACCTCGTTTCAATCTGCGGGACCGTGAGCGCGCGAAACCCACTCGTCACACCGCGCACTGAGCTTTGATTGGTCAGTAGACAGCGCGTCTGTACGCGTTGGTCTGTTATCTCGAACATAACCTGCTCCGGGGCAATGCATTGCTAACCAACAGTTGGTGCTAGCATTAGCCTGTGTGCTAACCAACAGTTGGTGCTAGCATTAGCCTGTGTGCCAACCTGCTGTTGTTACTAGCATTAGCCTGTGTGCTAACCAGCTGTTTGTGCTAACCTGCTGTCTGTGTCTTCTTCTGGGTATTTGTCGACCACGTTGATGATGTCGAGACACACCAGACCCACACACAGAATCTTCTTCTTCTTCTGTTCGTCCATGTCGATCCACACAAACTCACTGTTCACACAGCTGCAGGCTGGACTTTACACTTTCTCATTATCTAGTCAGCTCACAACAATACGACTCACCACTTCCTGTCAGCAGAGATGATAAAATAAGAGCCTCACAGACAGTAGCTGCTCTTCACTGGTTTTACTTGCTTACCCTCACCTTCTGTGTTTAAGTTGGTAGAGATCTTGTGTCATTGTTTGTGAGCTATTTTAGAGTATAAAACATCCTAAATTTCGGTTAGACTTTAGGGTTGGGAGGAAATAAATTTGTTTTGTCATTTGTATGGTCTCTCCTCCAGGATGTGACCAGGGTTTACTATGTCTAATGATCTAATCTGTCTCTTTTCTCTATAGATGACACATTTCAGCAGCAGCCATGTATGGCCAAATTAAATTAATACCACGGTACCGGTGCTCAAAATATAACTTTCTGTTTTTATGGGTAGCTTTAGGTTGAGGAGAACAAGACGCAACAATTGTTGTATTAAGCATTTGCATGTTTTTCATAACAAAGCACTTTGTTATTGGTAGAATTTCCCATTTCAGATCACAAAGAACTTGATTTCTAGGCATGGATGGGGGTTGAACCCATGATCTTTGGTTTACGAGACCAACGCCTTACCACTTGGCCACCACGCCACAAAATCAGGTTATGCTTGTTTCATTGTCACAAATGGTCCCCATACATATTTTTTTATAATATTGCAGTTTTATGACTTATAGCTGGAAGAGACGAGACTGAACTGAGCCTCACTCAAAAACTTATGTTTCTGATGTCACATAAAGGATCAATGACAACTCTTTTTGATCTAGACATGGATGGATGTATTGATGTGGTTCCTTTTAGAAGACAAACAATTTAATATTCTGTGTAACTTATAAGGCATGGATGGGGGTTGAACCCATGATCTTTGGTTTACGAGACCAACGCCTTACCACTTGGCCACCACGCCCTCACACAAGCACTTTCAAAGAGGTGTCTCATTGCCACGATGTTCGGGGATTTGTTTAGTTCCACTTAGTGCTGCTTTCCTTGCAAAGCAGGTTTTCGTTGCTGTTTGACGATCCAACAAACACTTTATTTGATGCGTACTTGTCTGGACAAACTAACAGATGGTGACTTGATGCTATGGGGGGAGTTTTTTACATAGCAAATACAGAGCGTGAAGCAGCTGCTTTTATTCAAGTGTTGAGCTGAGATTTATTCAACAAATAGCAGCTTGCACTGGAGTGCGACCATAACGTACGTTCCTGATGTCCCATAAAGTGTCACACAGATTTTGATGTGTTTAAAAGCCAGGCACGGATGGGGGTTGAACCCATGATTTTTAGTTTACAAGACTAACACCTTACCACTTGGCTACCATGCCGTGACACTTGTGAGGAACCCAGGTGGATTTACTCTATAAAATCTTTCATTTTTAAAAATTAAACCACATCTGTCAGTCAGTTCCGGCACTGACTTCCATGCTCTTTCATGCTTTCATGCGTTGCGTCACGATACGATAAGATACTTAACAAAGAGATACAAAACGAAACGATACAATAAGAAACAATAAGAAACAAAATGAAACAAATGATGTTACTGCTGCTTTGGGTCAAATGCCAATCACAGTTTGGAAAGAGATTGGAAATAACAAATGTTGTCGATTTAACATGTGACTAGCTTTCCAAAAGTGGAAACAGCAAAGACCGTAATCCTTTGAAAAGTGGCGTTTGACGTGTTGAAGCTGTTGTTTTTGTAGCAGGATGAAGGTGAATTGTGTTAATTTCACTCTTTTTAGAAGTCAGACAGATGTTGGGATTTACAGTTAATCTGCAGATTTCTTCCTTTAAGAGGAAACAAAGGTGCTATTAGAAGCACTGAGCTTTGCTTCACTGCCTTTATCGTCTGATTATCCATCGGATGGTTAAACAAACAAGCAAAACCTTAGCAATCAGCTGTGCAATCAATGTGTGTAAAACCACTGAGTTGAGCAAGTACATGTAATACAAAATGCTGTAAAGCAGGATTTGGACAAATACTTCAGTTTGTAGGACTCATTATTAATAAAACAAAACAAAAACAGGAAATATTGGATTTTTATTCATTCATTTTTACTTTGGCTGTACTTTTCACCGGATGACTTTTCTTGCAGCAATTAACATAACGTTCCATTGTGGTGACACAAGATCGTTTAAACCAGACTGAAAAATAAAAATCAAGTTATTTGTTTGATAAAACTCATTGGTTTGGTTTACTGGTTTTAGAATGGTGACTGATGAACAAAAAGCCACAGCATTAAACATTCAAGGTTACATTTCAAAATGTACTAATTTTAAACAGATTTTTCCACTTTTCCCATAAACAGCAATGTTGAGAAAACAATGTTTTCAGGTTTTTTAACCCCTTTGTTTGATGAGAATGTAATTTATTTAGCTTTACTGAAATCTGCCGACTGTAAAATTGAAAAACAAATGTTTTAATGTAAAAACCTGATAATCTGTAGAGATATAGCATCTCTGACGACATAACATACAAAATACTCTTTTGGAGTAAACACGTTAAAATGCCCACAGAGACACACAAGAATACAATCATGTAAAGATGAACTCTTTCTCAAGACTCATCTAAAGAGGTTTGTGATCATTGATATTAATTTCATGAAAATATGACAGTAGTTCTTTCATTTCTCGTTTGCAGGCACTGAATACTGCATATGAGGGATGAAGAACTACTGTAGGATAACAATAATACATAAAGGAGGAAGGAATAGGGCACTGGGCAGTTTGTAATCTTGTAAAACTCTGTGTTTTGGTTAGAAGTAACATTTCATTTTAAAGTGGCATCTGTAGATTGAGATGTTAATTGAGGCACGCCTAGTTAAATGTATCCTACAAAGGTTCATATGATATTTTACGAAAAGTTACTCCTCATTCTTTGTGTGTTTTCCTACTAATGTCCAGCAACACATATTATGGTTACATGATTGCGGTCTTTTCAAAATAAACTTCCATCATTACAGGAAACAACTTAGTTAGTTTAAAGCAACAAAACTACTTAGTTAGGTTAGGAAAAAAGATCGTAAAATACTTGCTTAGGTTTAGGAATATGTCGTGAAATACTTAGTTAGCTTAAGGCAACAAAACTACTTGGTTAGGTTTAGGGACAGATTGTGGTGTGGGTTAAAATAACGTTTTACTTAAGTTACGTGACAAATAAACGAACGCTGACTTCTCGTTTTGCTCGCTGGTTTCCTGGAGGAAAGACCAGTGTTTATTTGACGCCTCCACCTTCACCTCCCGTCCTGCATCCCAGTAAGACTTTTTGCTTTATACTTCCTGGTTCATGGTTGATCACATACTTTTCCTAGGTTTTACTACGAATGCTGTAAAAGCACAGCCTGCCTAGTTCGTGTCTCATTTGTCAGAGGTATCATGTTCTTGTTTTATTATTCACACTCTGAGATAAAAAACTAATTGTAGACAGGAGGTGCTCAACGTAGGGAACTTGTTTCTCATCAAACAAAACCAACATTATGTGCTGAGGTGACGATTTTTATTGACTACGTTGTCTCCAGAAAGCCAGAGAAACATGTTTACAGGGACAGAAACAAAACAAAGGAAATACCAAAACCAAACTGGCAGTGATTTGGGAAATTATTGGATTGCGTACTTGAGGCAACTTGAGTGGTTTTAAATGTTGATCCCCATGTGGTTGATTTCAGGAGACGGATGAAATGTAATAGTGTCAAACACCAGTAGAGGCATCCAGTAAAGCATTTTAAACACACAGGGATGAGTTTTTTTGGTGTATTAAACAATCGGATATTTGAAATTGTATCTTATTTTTCTTCACAAAGTGTCTATCACTATTATCATGATTAGTTTAAATTAATTGAATTATTGGACCTAAATAACTGGAGGTAGAATATAGTCCCTTCAATGTTACTACTGTCACTTTTTGAGCAGGTCAGACAACCCCGTTAAAAAAACAAATCATCACACTCTAAGGTGATTTGGATAGACAGCATCATATCATCATTTCGCTTTATCCCTTTTTATTTTTTACTTCTTGTGTCATTCATCACTTCATTTCATCACTGTCCTGTCGGCACCTCTGCATTTCATATAACTGTGCTAATCAGCTACGCTTAGCTGCTAATTACTGACTTGATGTTTGTTTTAAACTTCCTCCACTTATGACAAATTGTGACTTGACCGAGTGCGTTTCGCCTTCGCTGCTGTCAATCAATCAAAGTAATAGTTCTGCACAAAGATGGCTTCAGTGCCTTTGTAGATGGGAGAGAAGTTATAGATGAGAGCTCGCTCTTCCTCCTTGGGGCTGGAGAAGTGGTGCCGGTTCTTCATGGCTGAAGGGGAGAAAGAGAGGAAAGAAGAAAGAGAGGAGAAAAAAAGGAGCATTAAGAAACTTACAGCTGCTGCTTCCTTCTGAAATTCTAATAGAACTCGTCAAACTCCATCTGCTGATGAAGATAATAATAACACATTTAATTTGTATAGTACTTTAAAAGGTACTAAAAGCCACATCACGTTGTAAAAACAGACAGTAACAGCAATAACTGTATCGTCAGAAATCATTCAATGATGGATTTGTCTTAACACATAGTTTTAATTGTAAATAGTTATTGTTTTGCATCAGGAGTTATGTAGCAAACTAATCAGATCTTTGTGGCCCACGGCCTAATTTCCATCAAATTCCTGTGAAATCAGTGACCTAGTATTTTGGATATATTCTGCTATGAAATAAATAGTAACAACCTGATAAGCTGGGGTAATAAAAGCATGTAGAGGTACCACACGTTACCTTCAGAGACAAAGAAGCTGCCAGTGTAGAAGCAGGCTGCTACAGCAGCGGTGGAGTGAATCATGCCCGGTTTATCTACCCACTCATAGGAGCTTTTCTCTGGATGCCACTGCACTGCATAAAATGGGTAGCGGTAGGCTGAGGAGAACCAGAATAATCAGCATCACCCTCATTATTATCATTATTCAAAACACCAGTTCAGTTATGAGGTGATGGTGCCATCTAGTTGAAATCACAGTAGCTATCTGTTGTATCATGTGCACTAGTGAACAACATGAAATAATACAACATTTAAACTGCAAAGTAGTCAGGGAGTAATGGTACCTTCCATGGTGGAGATGAATTCTTTCTTCCCATCATTGTTAGTGGACAGGACCTTGTAAAACCTCTTCAGCTTGCTATTTCGGCTGTAGTTCTGTTGGTTCAAAGGCAGAGATTTTAGGTCTTGACTTAAATATATTAATATAGTTTTTGAAGCCCTGAAGTGAATTTGCTCCTTCTGCATAGAAAATAAAGAAAACAATATTCAACAATTTGGTCAAATTCAGTGGAGTGTGGTGCTATGAATCAGTACTCCTACGTGAGACATTTATAACATTCAACTTATGTATCACAGTTAGTTTTAATATTTTGCTCCTTATATCAAAGGTGCGGATGGGGGTTGAAACCATGACCACCACGCCCACTTCTAAACAGTGTTTAGCATGAACCTAGTCACAAATACTTCAGATCTGAATCATGCTGATACCACTTTGTTTTTCCCTGATATTCAGGGTGCTTTGTACGCAGATGTTGCTTTCGCTCAACTGGCTTTCATGGCTTCGTTTGCTAGGATCACATCGTACAGCATTCTCACTGAAAGATAGCGGACACATCATAGTAGAGTTCACTTCTCAAATCCATCAACTAAGGATCACAAGGAGATGTGCAAGCTCCTTATAAGGCATGGATGGGGGTTGAACCCATGATCTTTGGATTACCACTTGGCCACCACGCCTCAGAACTTCGTGGTTTGCATGCTGAAAACAATCGGGGAGCAAACAGAGATCTTCTGGCTTGATGGATCACTGTTTGTTGGACCCAACCACCTTCCCTAAAACCAGCCTTGTGTGTGCTTTTGCGGCCCTTTTACTTCCTCGTTCATGATTACGTGGATAACATACAAAAGTATTTTGGGATATCAACGAATATCCCAAAGTGCATTACGTTTTGTAGGCTATGCTACGAAAGCTGGAAGAGACCAGCCTGAACTGAGCCGCACTCAAAACCTGATGTTTGTGATGTCACATGAATGATCACTGACTGCTTGAAATGACAAGCTCCTTATGAACTAGATATGGAGCTTGTCATTTCAATGAATTGATCTTTGATTGATGTGATTAATTTAATAACACAAAGAAATTGATACCACCAGGTATGGATGGGGGTTGAACCCATAATCTTTGGTTTACAAAACCAACACCTCACCACTTGGCCACCACACCTACTTTCTGTGCTGTAAAAGCGTGTTTTGCATTCTGTTTGACGTTCCGAAAACAATCAGGGAATGAACAGCGGCCTTCTGGCTGACGGATCACTGTTTGTTGGACCCATCCACCTTGCCTACCACCAGCCCCCGTGTGTGCTTGTGCCGCCCTTTTACTTCCTCGTTCATGATTACTATTTTGGGTTATCATCGAATTACGGCAGAAAATACCTGCATAGACAGACTCCAGCTGTGGAAGTTGGAGGTGATGTTTTCCTCGGCCAGAGACTGCAGCAGGTCTTTGGGGAAACTTCGGAAGAGACGGCTGGACTGGGCCGCTAATGGGGACGGACACCGGATTGTGGCGAAGCAGGAGGTCCGGAGAAGCAGTTCACACAACACAGGAGAAGGTAAGTTACATTTAATGATAGTTAGAAAGGGTTGTTTAATACATCTTTACAATTGGAATAAGTCATTTGACAGCAGGGTCAGAGATAAAGGCTAGCCACATGTGATTTCAGGGTAAGGAGAGCAATGTTCAGGCTCATTTGCATGGGATCCGCCCACATTTAACCATATTGAGCACCATGAGTGATACCGCTGTGGGTCGAATACCCACCACAGTTTGGTAGCTACTGGAAGTTAGGAATCTTTGCTCTTTTAGTAATTTTCAAGAAGGAATTCAGTAAATGAAATCCTCCCTAAGTGTGAAAATCAAAGAAATACAAGTCAGTCATTCAGATAACTGGACAATTTTAGAAGAAATGCAATATAATATTATAGTTAATATAATGCTGAAATAATTAATATTTCTAGAGAATATTTATTTGATGTGAGAAATATTTGAGATAACTAGAGTGACCGCGTACAACAAACTCAGTGTAACAATTCAGTAAAGATAAAAAGGCGTCACATCTCCTTTACCTGAGAACTAACCTGATTGTCCCACATTAAGCATAACAGGTGATATTAGATATACTTTCTATTATTAAGCATAACAGGTGATATTAGATATACTTTCTTATAAAGGGAGGATTGCTATAAAGAGAATCCAACGTTAAAATGTCATAAATAAAAGGATTCCTATATATTCAGGGAGCAACAACCAGCGATCCTTCAGCCAGGAGGCTGCTGTTTGTTCCCCGCATGTAAAAAGAGAAGTTGATGTATTTGTCACGTAACTTTCGTACTTCTATACCCTTTTAACCCAAACTACAATCTTTTCCTAAACCTAACTAAGTATTTTTGTTGTCTAAACCTAACTGAGTAGTTTCCTGTGAAGAAGGAAGTTTATTTTGAAAAGACTGCTTGTACGTAACGACACGCGTTGCTGGACTTTCGTAGGAAAACCGCACGAAAAGGAGTAACTTTTCTTAAGATCTCATACGTGTGAGGATGCAACAGGTGTTCATATGTAACTAAAAAACTCACAAAGACTTCCTCGATTCAGTCAATTTCCAACTTGTGGCCACAATCAAAAAAGGGTTTTGTCTCAGTTGACCCTTTGCTGAGTCCTGCCCCTCAAATGCTGACTGGCCAATGATATCGTAGCATCGGCCAGCTCCAAACCGTGACAGACAACTATCTGGTTCTGCTCCATAGACTCTCATAGACTCTAAAACTAGTTGATGTTTTAAATACATCTCTATAAGACATTATCTGCCACCAACAGCCTATTATGAAATTTGAGTGAAGCATATATTAACTCTCTCTAAAGTTTGCTTGACAAAAAAAGAATAAGAGGTAAGTGTAAACGTCCCGTGACGAGGAAAACAGCATAAAGAAAGGGGGCTATTGAAGAATAATAACTAAGAAATAGAGCAGAGGACAGGAAGAGAAGAATACCTGGTGTTAGAGTGAGAGGTAGAGCCACGGCCTTGGTGTCGGTGAGGGTGAGCAGGTTTTTGTTGGCTGTGAGGACAGACAGCTGCTGGAAGCCCTGACAAGTTCCCCAGATAGGGAAGTAGTCCCTGGCATCGTTGGCCTGCAGAGGACAGGAGAGTGAGGAATGAGAATCTATCAACGAGGAAGGAGCGATGTAACTCTACTTACACCTACGATCCAAGTGCTTCCATCTCATATGGCCGCACACCAAGTACAGCTGAGGCTCAATGTGGCTCCAACAGTCTGAAATAATATCTATAACGTCTTGTTATGACATAAAGACGTCAATAAATTACCCTTCTTGTACATTTTGAAGCGACTTTGTGTCTTTAAAAAGGCGGCAGCCAACAAGTGTCTAAATAAGACGACGAAACGCCATCACGCTGACTAGTTTGTCTTCACAGCGTCGTGTTTGTACTCGTGTGATTTGGTGTGATAATCAATGAAAGATAATCACTGAGGTAATTGTTTGACTGCAAATGTATTTCAAGAAATAGTTTTTTTACATACAAGAATAATGTCGAATCATTTCTTAATTAATCGTTTTTTTCTTCTCATAAAATAATCAATAAGAACCGATAAGAGCACTACTATTGATTAAATCCCAACGGTGCCCGTCCCTACTCGGCAGTCAGTTGAACGAGTCAGATGTTTTATATCTTACCTTCAGAGCCAGTCTGTAGAAGATCCTGGCTGCTCGACTGAACTGCGACGTTTGAAGATCTACGTCTCCTCCCGGCAGCAGCAACCTGAGGAAAAAACACACTGTTTACGTTTAGGCTGTACAGGAGTGGAAATCTCGCCTACGGCATCACTGACGTCACCTTTAGACAGTTTTCATGTGTCGAAACATGACTCGTGATGAGTGCAACATATGCGCTTACATTTTACAGAACGTGAAGACAGTATACACAGCTAAAAGAGTGAAGCCATAGACCATTGATGTTTCCTTATTTATGTAATGCAAATAACTGTAAGTTGACTTATACAGCGTCTATCCAAACTAATGGGACTTTACTGATGTGCATTGACAGCTTTGAACAATATTCTGTTGTAAAATGCACAACTTCTCTCAGCAGAAAAGCAGTGGCCGGAAATCTGCTGTTTATATACATTTACACTTTGCACAGTATTCCAAAACCTGCAGTTTGAAGCCTTTGACCACATTAAAGATCGACAACTGTGCCGTAATAGATAAAGACATTGCTAAACTTACCAATACAAACTGTTGCGATGACAACAAGAGAACTCCAGTGTACTCACCCATTTATCGAGGAGAAGGTGTTAGCATATTCTTCTTCTGTGCGATTGATTCTGGTGACCGAAAAAAGCCGATACATTACACAGTGATTTGATCTATTGTTATTTGAAAATATTGATTAGAGCAGATTAAAGGAGTATTAATTGTTCGACTGTTCCTAAAGTGGCCTTTGTTTTGTCATTGTATCATAATATACAACAAGGATGTTATCAATGATTTATCTAATGAACCAATATCCTTTATATAAAGTAAATGGTCGTGCCATATATTTGTTTCAAGCATGAGACCAAAAAAGCCTTAAAATTGATTTATTCAGACTTTCTTCTTGTTCGTTGAGAACTCATCTACTTTGTAATCTGAGCCCTTCTGTTCGTCCTGAGAACCACATGGGCTCTCTTCTTTGTTTTGTAACGTTTTGTCGAAGGAAATAGCCCATTAAAGGAGACACAAAGGGAAAACTATCTGCTGGTTTACATCACAATGCAAAGTGTTTGGGCCCAGAAACCAGCCAGAAGAAGCCCCCCCTCCCCCCACTGAGGTGACTTGTGAAGCAGCCACAGGGAATGCATTGTATCTGTCTCTGGGGGTAGACTGGATGTAATCAGTTAAAGTTGTCTACAAGACAAGAGTGTTTTCTGGAGGATTGAATTACACGTGCCACAGGACCCTAAATCTTAAGGATTCAAACTTTAAATAACTGTAGTTGAAGACATGAAGCAGGTCCTAACTATATGTTGAAACCCGGGCACCTGGGAATGCATGCACTGGATTTAATGGGATCTTAAAGATGACGGCACACATATGTTTTAAAGATAAACTGGTTAACACCCTGCAGCTAAAAGTGGCCCCAGAGCCCGCTATACTACAGCTGAATCCAGTCTGGCTGCTACACCAGACAGCCATGAGAGAGATTCCACATCTGGATGTTGTACCTGATGGGTACAACCCTCGCTCCGGCTCCCTCCAGGTATTTCACATAGGATGCCGCAATGTATGATGAGCCATGAGCAAACTGGTCTCCTGGAATATTTTCCTGCGCCAACACACCTAGAGAGGAACGAAGACAAAAAACAAGACTTATATCTTTAAAAAAACAAACTGATCTACACATGGATGGATTACTGAACAGGCCGACTGTGTAATAGCACACATTTGCACAAGTCACCCTAACAATTATGAGACAGACACAAAGACAAATAAAGCATGAAAAAAAAAGAATTCTAGCAAGAAAAAGTATAAGAAATACTTCCGGTATTTGCAGGTCACATATTTTTGGGGTATTTTTTTTCGTGTTGAAACACAACATTGAAAATACAGATGTGGACATCTGGCGTGTGTCATTTTATTGAATGGCGATAATAACTACAACTCTAGGGAGCTGGTTTGTGATGCCGGTATTTTTTAAATTGTGCATTCATAGAAGCAGCTAGAAGACGGACTCTCTCTCTCTCTCTCTCTCTCTCTCTCTCTCTCTCTTTTTCAACACACGCACACCTTTTCTCGAACGTTCTCGGTTAGAGTTACATAACAGCAATCATAATCCGACAGTGTATCTCTCTCTGTGCAGACGGACGGACACACAGAAGCCCGTTCACGGGGCTGAATCTTACCGATGACCGGTCGGTGATTGAGCTGCTGGCTTCTCCCCGCCGCGCACAGATGCGCCGCGCAGAGACAGGCGCTCAGCACCGCGCACAGCGCTGCGGTCGGCCGACACATCCAAAACACCGGTGCGGTGATTAAAAAAAAAAAAAAAACTGGAGACAGGGGATGCAGAGGCTGGGTCTACTCGGTGAGGATGAAACCTGGCAAAACAATGTTTTATGTCTATTAAAAAAAAGGCACAGAATGTGAAATGATCCGAGAGAAGATGCTTCCTTCCGGGGGAGGTTCTCCTCTGATCTCCTGCTTTTATCTCCTGAAGAGGAGCATCAAGCCAGTCACACGTGGGACCTCCTGTTCCGTCCTTGTAGAAATAGATCCACCAGATCAGACGCCCCCGTATACACAGACTAGTCCATGTGGTGCAGCTCAGGTAGAATTTAGTACCATCTCTTATCAATAAACCTTATGATGACAGGGAGGAAGAGGGAAGAAGGCTGAGGTGATGATATAGAACTCCTTGTTTTATGAATATTATTATTAGGTACCGATATAGTGACGTGCATAGGCCCCGCCCACTTGAAACACATCGGGCATGGTGACTGAAACTGCTGAGTCACATGAACATTATAAATTAAGGAACGGTGGACAGAAGGTGTGGTGTGATATCAAAGTCGATGGAGAGACATCCTGAACATCACTGTATATTGACTTTCTGCATGCATTAGCTATGTTGACATAGGAGCTGTACTTCTGGTTATACAGGTAGTCATGTCACGCAATGTCCATGCATGTACAGCAATACATAAGTACAAAGGTGTGTGGTATGACGATATGGTTAAATAGTAATAAGTACATTTCATAGAGGGTAATGCTGCATCCTGACTGCAAACATTACAAAGTGGCATGGGATGTGTAAGGCACAAGATAGGATGTCTCCGAGAACATCATTTGAACCAGTGGCAGGCCGTGCATTTTATACCTAGGCCTTCACTGCTATCCTGCAGCTGAAATACCACCTTATAATCACATGATGGCACCACAGCTATTATTCATTTTTAAGGCTGTAACTATGTACATCCTGGTATTAAACCGTTCGGTATGAGTCGTTTGAATAAAGCTAGAGCATTTAGAAAACGCAAAAGCCTAAATTCAGGAAAACATAATGCTCTCAGCTGGTCTGGCTGTGGGATCCACCATCATTCCTTAATGACAAGCTGCAACCCAGAGCAATTATCATAGGATTTTACTTTCACAGCTTGAACGTACTGCTCTGCAGTGTCTTTCCTCGTCTCAGCCCCCTGTGTCATGGTGTGTGGTACATCTCACTCGGGTCAGAATGCCCATATTTGATTGGCTGAGCTGCATCACGTGATGTGATTCACTACCCAACAGCCTCTGCTGTTAAGTTTCATTTCACGATAGTCACGTGCTTGCCCACTGACCAATCACAGCACACTGCACCTCGCGGCAGAGCTACACATGGACACTGAGCGGCATGTAATGCTGACGTCATTATAGGCTGGCTAGCAGGTGCTGACACCTCAAAGAATACGCCCAACATGTCAAACTAAAGATCTGATTGGTTGAACACTATGACAATCAACAATATCGTCCCCATTCACTTAAACTGCACTGAATGCACTTCAGAGTCTGCAGGCCTCTGCCTCTGTTCTTACCGAGAGACACAGAGGTGAAATCTGATTGGATAAAAGCTCCACTTAAAACAAGCTGCACTGGAAGCAGAGCAACTGAGGAAGACAGGAGCTGTGCAATGAGAAGATAAGATAATGGGAAAAATATTTTTACAAATTATAATACATGTAGTGTATTTAAGAAAAATTATTAAATTATAAAATAGATATAACTTTGTGATTCTGTTTAGGCCAGCAGAGAAGGCCTTGCAGGCCCTGACGGCCCGCCACTGATTCGCACCCATCTGAGCATCAGTGATATTGGTGAGAAGAGCTATGAGGGGATATTAAGAGAAGACACCCACCAAGCCACAACCTGTTCACCGTGCTGCCGTCGGGTAAGAGATACAGCACTATCTGCTGCCGAACCACCAGACATCAAAAAAGCTTCTTTCCTCTGGCTGTGACTCCTTAATTCATCCTCCACCCTCCATACATAATATAGTTGTTTTTTTTCTTTCCTACGTAACAAATTGTGACTACAATATAAATTTCGTTGTGCAACCATGTCGTACAATGACAGATAAAAACCCTAGTTACCTTGTCTTAAGCTTTGTTTATACTCACGCTTGCCACCGTAGTGTGAGACTCCGCAGACGGAGACGAAGGCGTTTTACTCATTATTCTCAGAAAGGCCAGAGGGCGAACAAACAAAATGATCTGTGAGAATCAAAAAGACGAGTGTAACTCAGAGATATGCCCACAGACTTGTGAGGAATTTGCTGAGAGCGGGGGTTGGGAAGTGGCTGGGTGAGGTGTTAAGATCAGAACAATAGGTCAAGGGCCAAGGAGGGGCTTGTTGGACTTCAGCCAATCAATGAGCTGATCGATGAGCTGAGAAATGTAACTTTGGAGGGACAAAGGCTCTTCGAATTGCAGGAGACGCTCAGACCCCCTCGGTACCATGGGGCAGACATACCTGTCTGTCGTGTGGTGCGGATGGGGCCTCACTTTCATGGAATTTATATGTTTGTTGTGTTATTAATAGTGTGTTCAGTTTGCAACTGTTTAGCTTCTGTAGTTATTAAATATCTTTTGATTTGATTTTGACCTGGACCTGCTGATTCCTGCCCTGCTTGCTGATGAAAGAGACAGCAAAGGGGGGGTGGGGCTGCTTCTTCTCCTCTGTGGCCTTCTTCTCCTCTGTTTGGGACATTTTGAACATAACAGACTGTAGGTGTACCCGGCAAAAACTTCATAAACCAACCTCCACAATAGAGAGGAGGGATTGTAATTCTCAGTAAACTCATATCTCATATTCATGACTACTTTATTCCCTTTGTACAAGAACTGTAAAGAAACAAGTCAAGTATTAAATGCATTATAAAGAAACAAAGGTTGAATATCCCGTAAACAATTTGATGTGGCTGCAAAATATTTACTCAAATGTAGATTTTTAAGACCTCATGTTTCGAAAGCATTTTAAAGTGATTTGTCCTTCTATAGACATGAACATAGTGTTTTTATCAGTGAAATATTTGTGACAGTCACGTCAAGTTACAAAAGTTATCTCGGGCCGGCTTTACTGCCAGCCCGAGCAAGCTTCGGTTGGTTGCTATCTGCCACACATCACTAGATCTCACACACTGGCCCTTTAAGAAGACGCCTTCAGGATGTTGATCTATTCTGTGTATTCTGAGAGCTTTAAATATATTGACTCAAGAGACTTTGCAATCAAGGTGGCTTTGTAGGTAGCCATGCCATTCAAACCTATACATGAAAAGCAATATATAAGTATGAAGATGTGATATGACAAAAGAATAATATTGCACATTTCACAGCAGGGAAAGGGCTGCAGCAGACTGATATAAGAGTACTATAAGAGGCTTCAAAACATCAGTCCACAAGCCAACGGGTGACATCAGGATGACTAAGTCCACCTCATATATACAGACTATGGATACAACTCACGTCAGTACTGGAGTAGCTCATTATAACGTAACTCTTTGCATTTGACATCAACTCAAATAATCTGTGATTGTGTAGTGGACGTCCAAGTAAGTTTCATTTGTAGTAGACAGAAATGGGAACCATGTATCAACGTTTGAGAGATCTGGAGCGAACAACAGTTAGATAGATAGATAGATGTATAGATAGATAGATAGACATATAGATAG